TACTCTTGTGACAGTCTAAGTTCTTTTACTGTTTACTTTTCATATCTTTTCTGAAATCTACCGACATATTGCAAAAAGAGAAATATAGTCTCATAGACTAGACTATGGAAACCGTTGAAAAGGCACGCGCGAGAGAGAAGGAGGGAGTCCAATTAGTGGATATTCTTTTTTTCACATTTGCCAGCTTACGCCGTCTCTAGCGTAGACGAGATATTCGACTATCGACCAAAGGGAGGGTGTACTGCTCATCAATCCGCTCCGTCCTCCTTTATGGCTGTGAGACCTGGCCACTGAGAGTGGAAGACATGAAAAGATTAGGTGTCTTTGATCATAGGTGCCTGCGCTCTATCTCCTGTGTGAAGTGGCATAATAAGGTGAGCAATATTGAGGTTAGGCGTTGAATTCTAGTTAAGGAGGGGAAATCAATCGACGAGGCTGTGAAGTTACATCGACTGAGATGGTTAGGATATGTTTTACGTATGCCTAGTCATCGCCTTCCTCGACGAGCAATGTTAGCTGATATAGGGCTAGGCTGGAAAAAAGCTAGCGGCGGTAAAACTAAAACATAGCCTGAGCAGTCCATGAAATCAACAACAGTTAGTCTAAGCCACATGGGAAGGTGTAGACTGGCTTACTGGTTGGGGTCCTCGGGACGGTAAAAACCAATGGTTAGAAACAATTGGTGACATGGCTCAAAATGGTCTCAGTGGCTGGTGTAGATGTATCCACTCCTTGTGACTTATGATTTCCAATGAAACTATTTCGTTCTTTGTTATTACTCTTCCTTTGTCTCACACCTCTGATTACTGTCTCTATTATGCTACTTTCTTCTCTTGCTATGTGTGCTACACGGAGTGTGGCGACTTGAACTGTCGCACATCGGTGCAAAGTTGTTCTATGTCGAAAACAGACAGTCAGATATTCTTCTTTTAACCATAGAAACTGAGATTTTCAAGTTTTGGTTTTGTAGGAGTTTTGTTTAGTTGGTTGAAGGATTTCATCATGAGCTGACATCAGTTAGAAAAGCATTGAAAAACCAGCTGGGAGTACTGGACAGACAGTTGTTTTCCCAGCCTAGTTTGGGACTTCTCATCAGTACGCAACCGCCGCCATGACTCGAACTCATCCAATGGTTCTCTAATTTACGTCAGCCATGATGAAATCCTCTAACCAATGAAAGAAAACCCCTGCAAAACCAATGATTGAGAATCGATGTGGTGCTCACTAGCCATTGGCCCTGTTCAGGTAGGTGGTGGTTACCTGGAGTTCGGTTGGAAACTGTGACCAGCAGGTTGAAAGTGAGGACAATTAGTCATTAAAGGATACATTGCGAGGTAGTCGCGCACTATATTGTGAATTGGCAGAAGTTAGAATTCATGCACTGGCCGGCTGGCCATTGGATCGGTTGGGTACCAATGGCTGAAAAATGGTCTATGAGCTAACTCGCCTTGTGACCAGAAGGTCCTGGATTCGAACAGTGCCGATGGGTGTGTACTGATGAAGAGTCCCAAACTAGGCTGACGAAACAGCTGGCTGTCCAGTACTTCCAGGTGGTTTTCCAATGCTTCTCTAACTAATGTCAGCTCATGATGAAATCCCAACCAATCAAACTTAGGTTTCCCAAGTGTAAAAGGTGGAGTGCGGTTTTTCCCTCCAGATCCAAATTATGGACATAAACAAATCTTCCAGTACTTAATGATTCCGCTTTTTTCTATGATGAAACGAAAGCGTCTTGTGATCAGTATAGGTGGAGTTTTAAGTCTAATGGTGCTTTAAAAAGAAGAAATCTGCTTCCATCTACTTCGGTCTGGGAGGCCAACTGGTTATTGTCAGCAGTCCCCTACACCATAAAAGTCTGGTACATGAAAAACTGCTACGGGTAACTCGCTTCAAACAATATCATTCTATTGCTAAGCATAACTGAGGCAGTTGCCTTAAAAGTATTTTCAACCTAATCTATGTGTTGCGAAAAAGTGTCCCCAATCATCCTACATCTCATGGCCTTCATTGCCAACCTGGGACAGATATCTTTCCGACTGACACTGGATAGTTATAATATTACCTTGTACTATTATTCGTACTGTTAACTTTATTATCAATATCATACTGTGTTATAGTTGCATGTTTCAACCTCGGTTTCACACTTTATTTATGAAACTAAACACTCTACTATCTAACTGCTATGAGGCAATAGTTACTTTTCCTTTTTACCCCAATGAGTATACACATTCACAACGATTGACTGTTTAGGTTATGTAAATACTTGTGTAGATTTATGCTGATTATTATTATCCTGTGTGCGTCGGGGTTCAGCAGCGGTAGAACTCTCCCCAATCACTTCACACGTGGTCTGAGATTTGATCCCCAGCCGATGCATTCCTAAACCCTCGCTAAGGCAGGTAGTGAAGCAGGTGAGGAGGGGAAGGTTGGGCATGAAGCTACCAACACCACCGCGTAAAACTGAAACAACTGCTACCGAAACTTCAGAAGTCTAGCTTGAAGCCCTATGTCCCACCCATGGAGAATATATGCCGGTGTGAATGGAGTAGAAGACGAAGAAAACTACTGATATCTGACCAGACCAAGACATACAAACAATCCATGAAGTCAATGGCAGTGAATCCTTATCTAATTTTAGGAAACATATTTTACCCTCTGATAATGACAGTCGAAAGTGTTCATTTTGGCAACACACTTTCCTTTTTTTCTTTTTGGTGGTATTTTTGTCTTACGGCGTGAGATTGCTAACAATCTCAAGCCACCCAGTCTTCCCTATTTTCCCATCTTATGACTGACTAGTTAACGAAGCAAGGTTTCGGGGGCCATGGCCATGAGTCGCGTAGGACTGGGATCCTGGCCTTTCGTGTTGCTAGTGTGCATTGTAACACTGAACTACTGACGCACTTTGAAGACACTAAATGATCCGATTCGACAGAGATCGAATTCATACAAATATTTATTATTGATTTGTTTATTGCATACCTTTTCTATTCTGCAGTGTATCTGTTTTCTGTATATATACTTTGATCGTGTTAATCTTGTATTCTTGCATGAAATAAGAACCACGCACACACATCTAATTTTAAGCTTTGAGGTTTGTATTTTTTACAACATTGGTGATCGTTTTACAGGGTGGGGTTGCTTCTATGATGTTCAATGTACAAGAAGGGAGACAAGTCTTCCTGTGACTAATAATATGGTATCTAAAGTTCTAGGCTCAGTAATCATGCGTAGGCTAAGCAGTCCACGGGAGGCACAAGCACGAGAGAACTAGACAGACTTTAGACCAAGAAGAGGGTTTTTGATCATATGTTCACCCTTCGACAGATTCTGGATCATAGGCATACTTACCAGAGTCCAATAATCGTTAAACTTCTTGACCTAAAGGCGGCATTCGGTTCTGTCGACCGAGAGGTACTCTGGCGATGATCGGTTGTGAAGGGAATGCCAAGAAAATACATTGTACTGATCAAGACACCGTACTCGAACTCATGCAACCAGGTGAGAGCCAACGGCATATTGTCATCTGAAGTGATGGCAACTAGTGGTGTCCGGCAAGGATGCCCACTATCCCCATTTATATTCACTTTCATCATAGATGCACTAATGGAATTAACCCTAACTCACTTCAGCGACTCAGGGATTGACTTCTACCAGGGAATAATCTCGTTGACTTAGAATATGCAGACGATATAGTCGTTCTAGGCGAGGACGCTGACAAAATGCAGAGTCTTCTGAACACCTCCACGAGTAGTAATCGTCGAATGTTTGACATGCGATTTGCTGCCTTTGTCAAATGTAAAATGATGAGGCTACAAGACTGGACTACATTGACTCCTAGTTTAGAAATAGGGAGTGAAGTAGTTGGTGGAGCGTGATGACCACTTCACTCACTGTTTTGGGAAGTTGCATCAGCCAACGCCAGCGGATTGATCTCTGACTAAATCTCAGTACGGATACAGAATACTCGTTTGGTATATGCCAGTTTACGCCGTCTCTGGTGTAGACGTAGAATCCGGCTGTCTGTCGAACAAAGGGTGTGTGTACTGCCCAACAGTTTCCTCCGTCCTTTTTATGGCTACCTGACCATTGAAAGTGGAAGACATGAACAGCCTGGCTAGCTGTCTTTGATCATAGGTGGTCTGCGTTTTACCTCGTCCCGTGTGAAGTGGTATAATAGGGTGAACAATATTGAGATTAGGCGTCCGGTGCTAGGTAAGGAGAGAAAATGAACCGACGAGGTTTTGAGTTTACAGCGATTGAGAGGGAGATGGTTAGGACATGTGTTACGCCTGACTGACTAGTCACCGCTTTCCTCGATGACGGGCAACGTTAGCTGACATAGAATAGATCAGGTTGGAAAAGAGTTATTTAGTGGCTATCAAACCAAAACATGGCTTCATCAGTCAAAGAAATCCACAGCAGTTAGTTTAAGTCAGTCAGCCACGTAGGTCGGTGTAGAGTGGCTTCCTGGTTGAGGTCCTTGGGACGGTAAAAAATCAATGAAGGCTTGAGGCAATTGGTAATATGGGTCACAGTTGTTCTCAACTCCTTGTGACGTATAATGTCCAACAAGAATATATTGTTCTTCAAAATTAATATTTTTTGCCTCATATCTCTGCTTACTGTCTCTATTTTGCACTTCTTTTTAGTTTCTTCTCTTTGTGTGCTACATGTGGGGAGTGTGGCGACTTAAACTGCTGCACATCTGTGCAAAGTTGTTCTATGTTGAAAACAGGCAAACAGACAATCTTTGCCCCCGCCCTCCTCTTTTCCTGGCTCACCACTGGCTAGTAAGTAAGCTCGAAGAAGTCTAAAAGTCCGCCGATGGGGAATCGAACTCTAAACCACATGCGTCGTTGGCGAGTATTCTATCACTATTGCATAACACATAAATTGTGAATTGAGTTGATTGGCTGTTAAAACTCTATTGTTTATATTTTGCCTGTAGCTAATAATAATCTTTCTTCTCTTTTTTTCAAATATTAATTGTCTTTTAGATTGTTACCAAAGAGATTATACCACAATCGTCTCATCTTTCGCAATGTCCTCAATCATCAGTCAGTTTACAACGGTTGAATTCATCATCAACTATTAATTGCCCACCTCCATCTTGTGTCAAATCATCGTCTTTAGATCGTACTGTTGCAGCCTCCAAGACTGCTATCAATATTGTTGGAAATCATAGTAAAACGCTTGGCTCCTCCTCCTCTTGCTCTCCAAGTCAAACAATAATGACATCTAAAAGCACAGAGAACAATGAAATCCAAACAAACCAGTTATGCAATTCTACAACAGCATCGTTAAGTCCACTAGATAGTGGATTGTATATGTCTGTTCCAAATGTTGTCAGTAATCATAGTAATGATGATGACGATGACGCAGGTGGAGACATCGACGATGATTACCCTGGCGTTGAAGACAATAACATTACCAATAATAGTAATATCGATGTTGTACAGTCATCAGACAATTCTTATCATCTACCTCGTTGTCCATTTTATCACTCCTACATATCTGCTAGCGATCAAACATTAGCAATGCAAAGATTTTTAGTGCCTCGATTAATACCTGAATGGGATTTTGTTGATGGCCTGTTAAGAATAGCTCATCGATTGGTGCCAATCAGTCCTAAAGAACAAAGAAGTAAGTCTCTCTTTTTTTGTATTTGTATGCGTTCACATGTTGTTTTATGGCGTTTTATTTGAATCTCCTCTTAGTTGTTTACATTTGTAGACAGCTGTGGATTTAGCCCAACAGATAACTTATCACTAGTTTAGATACATTCTCGCTGCATTTGGTTGGGGGACAAGTGGTGGCTACATTTAAGGAATCTGTGCGTAAAACGTTCATCAATTGAGGTAATTTTCAAGTATTGGTTTTGTAGAGATTTTTTTGTTTGACTGGGTGGAGGATTTCGTCATGAGCTGACATCGGTTAGAGAACTATTGGAAAACCACCTGGAAGTACTGCACAGCCAGCTGTTTAGTCATCCTACTCTGGAACTCTTCATCAGTACACACCCACCGCCACGGTTCGAATCCAGGACCTTCTGGTCACAAGGCGAGTTAGCTCATAGACCATTTTTCAGCCACTGGTACCCAACCGATCCAATGGCCAGCCGGCCAGTGCATGAATTCTAACTTCTGCCAATTCACAGCATAGCGTGACTTCTTCGCGCTGTCCTCACCTTCAACCTGCTGTACCCTGCTGGTCATAGCTTCCAAATAGAACTCCTGGTAACTGCCTACCTGGATAGGGCCAGTCGCTAGTGAGCATGAGATCAATTTTCAAGTATTGGTTTTTGTGGGGATTTTTTTGTTTGATTGGTTGTAGGATTTCATCATGAGCTGGCATCAATTAGAGAACTATCGGAACACCAGCTGGGGGTACTGGACAGCTGTCTCGTCCTGAGTTCGAATCCTGATGGTGGGTGCGTACGGATGAGGAGTCCCAAACTAGGCTGACGAAACGACTGGCTGTCCAATACTTCCAGGTGGCTTTCCAATGCTTTTCTAACCGATATCAACTCATGATGAAATCCTCCAACCAAATTGGCATAATAGTGATGGTCATTGATATCAGGGATCGATGGAATTCACTACCTACTAGCAGTCATATTTGTACGATGGTTAATTCTACCACCTGATGATCGGTTACACCGCTAAAACTAGGTGAGGGTTATTTTTGCGGCGATGACAATAACAATCAGGAAGGTGAAGTGGAGTGAGATTAACCGACTTAAAAAGAACCTTACTATGACTAACTTAAAGAAAGAGTTTTTTTCTGTATGCGCGCATAGCTGCTACCTTGCCTATACATGAGTGGAGAAACCGTGAACTTTCCGAGTGACAGAGTTTAACCCTCTATAGTTAGCTTTAAAGGATAAATTTCGTGGAAGTGAATAACACCCGACTCAAGAAATTGTTGATAAAGACTTCGTCATTCAATGTGCTTGCCTTTCATCATCAGCCAAACTAGGTAGTAGTGTTCAGCTATACGTTCACTACAGGTGCGTCGATGGTACAGCGGTAGAATGTTCGCCAACCACGCTTGCATGTGGTCTGGGGTTCGATTCCCGACCGGCTCACTCATTTACCTCGCTAAGCCAATTATAAGCCTAGTAAAGCGGGAATGTTGGACATAAGGTTATCAACCCCTGCCACAGAAAATTCAATAGAGCTCTAACTTGAATCCTTATGTTTCACTGGGAACATAAAGGACAGATCACTTAGTCCCTTCAGCGATAGGTGCCACCTAACTCATGTAGATAATTGACTAAGTCAAAACTATGCTGTTGTGTTGTTTTTCACCACAGTGATATTACTTCATGGGTAATACTTAGTTCAAATTTTTGTAATTGGTTTATCTCAGCTGTGAAACTTTATATGATAGGAATTTTATTATTTTATTATTATTGCTCCCTTTGGTTCCTAGTGGAACATAGGACTTCAACTGCACGTCTCCATTTTCTTCTGTCCTCTGCTGTACTTTTCGCCTGCATCCATGTTATTCCATACTGTTTCAACTCCTCTTCACACGATCTCCTCCATGTCACCCTTGGACGTCCCACACGCCGCTTCCCTTTCGGGTTCCACTCGAGGACTTGGCGCGCGATGTCACCCAGCGGTCTCCTCAGCGAGTGTCCGATCCATCCCCACTTTCTCCTGCATATTTGTTGGGCGATTGGTTCTTGCTTTGTTTGTTCCCATAATTCCTTGTTGGTGATTCTTTCCGGCCATCTGATCTTCAGTATTGAGCGAAGACAGTTGTTAATAAAGGTCTGCAGCCTTTTGGAAATATTCTTTGTGGCCCGCCAAGTTTCTGATCCGTATAGAAGAAGTGACTTTACGTTTGTATTGAAAATCCGAATTTTGTTGTTGATGCTGAGTGAGTGACGAAGATTTCCAGATTGATTTCAGGTTGATGAATGTGTTTCTCGCCTTCCCGATTCTCGCTCGATTTGACATCCTCGTCCATTCTGACTGCCTGTAGTTGAGACAATGCTCCCTAGATAAGTGAATGAAGTGACCTCTTTCAAATCCCTCCCGTTGATGGTGATCGACGATGGATGTTGCTGCTGTTGTTGTTGGTTGGTTATTTTCATCACCTCCATCTTGTCTATGTTTACCTGGAGTCCTGTTTTTGCTGCTTCTTCGACCAGTTTGTCGGTTTTCGCTTGTAAGTCTTCGATTTTGTGTCACATCAAACATAAATCATCTACGCGGGAAATCCAGGTCTTCTAGGTTCTTCACGCCTGTCTGTCCAGGATATCACTGCCTGCTCGTTTCCCACTATCTGACGCATAATCCAGTCCACCACAATTAGGAATATCATTGGTGGTAATAAGCACCCTTGTCTGACTCCTGTGTTTACTCCAAACGCCTTGCTGAGTTTTCCGCTGTGGATCACTTGACATGTACCGTTGTCGTACAGCTGTTGAATGAGGTTGATGAATATTTGGGGTACGCCATAGTACTCGAGTAATTTCCAAATTACTTCACGATCAACGCTGTCGAAGGCCTTCTCAAAGTCTATAAAGTTGAGGTAGAGGTTTGATTGCCATTCCATACTTTGTTCTGTGATGATGATGCGTAGAGTTGCAATTTAGTCAGTACATGATTTGCCTGACTTTCCTGAATCCAGCTTGTTCTGGTCGGAGTTCTGTCTCCAGTGCGTCCTTTAATCTCTCCAGGATGATGCGACTCAGGATTTCACTTGGCGTCTACAGGGGCATGATTCCTCGCCAGTTCTTGTAGAGTCCTAAGTCTCCCTTCTTTGGTAGTTTCACGAGGTAACCTTTCCTCCAGTCAGTAGGCACCTTTCCCTCCTTCCAGACCTTTTGCAATAATGGAGTCAGCATGTCTGCTGTAGTCTCTGGGTCCGCCTTCAGTGCTTCAGGGGGTATTCCATCTGGTCCGGCTGCTTTTCCAGCTTTCAGAAGGAATTTTACTGGTCTTCATGTCTGTTGTTTTTGTTGTTGTTTTTTTTGTTGATATTTGTACTTTAACGGCGTCAAACACCTACACACACATGCGCACACCAGTTGGATTGTTTTTTATTATTGACGCTTCGCTTTGTTTCGGTGTACCGGGTGTGTATATACATGTGTGTGTGTGATTTATTTTGATGTAATGCCTGTTAGTTAGCTAGTGTATAGTCGTAGTTCGATCCAACCTGTTTTGTATACATCTCGTTTTTAATCTTTTCTTGATATCCTTTTTTAAGTTTTAATCGATTAAGAAGATGCGGCACCCGGCTGTCGACATGTAAGAGTGCTAGTTTTGAATATTGTTCCACCTACTTCACAGCCTAGCCGGTAACTAGTTAGGTGGTAGGTAGGTATGTGGTCAGTAAGCGCCATTAGGCTTCACACAATTACTGGGTTTGTCTCATATAGCACGGTGTTGTGAAGGATCTGTTCGCCTAGTGTTGTAACTGACATCTACAAATAACTCGTCGGTAAGTGATTTATTCAATCTTGTTGGTACATTTTTGAACCACATCACCAATAGTCTCCAGCCATTGGTTTTTGCAAATCCTGAGGACCCCAGTCAGGCGGTTTACAACTCTCTATGTGGTTGGTTCAAACCAAACTGTCAAAGACTTCGTCAATAGATGATAGGTTTTAGTTTTTAACCCCCCCTTTTTTTTTTAACTTTTTTCTAGTCTACTCCTATAACATTGCTCGTCTAGGAAATCTGTCGTTCAGTGTGAGATACTAAAAGGCAATAGGCAACTCAGGTTGTAACGACTGAAGACAAGGGCCAGGTAACAGATCGTTTATTGAGAAAATCAAGAGATATTTATAGATTTTTATGCACATTATTGTCAGCAGAGAAGCAAAGTCTTCTGATTGGCTGTTTTCTTGTTGAAGGTTATTCTGTACTGTTTGTGATCGTTTCTCAGAAAGTTAAGCCATATATCTGCGAATCGTATTTGCAGATGTTAAGTCTGCTGTGATTGGCTGATGAACTCCTCAAGGTTAAGTTTTGTTATTGTTTTTTTTCTCATAACTCTGATTCGGGATGTGAACACTGATGTCAATTGTTGTCTACGATTTTGCCTTGTTCGCAGACAGCTCTCACCACAAGATGAATACTGAACACGACTGTTCTCCTTCAAGTAACCCTCGCTTCACTGAGCCACGAAAATATCAACAGATTATTGGCCCTATGACGGTGAGAATAGCTTCATTGAACAAAAATTCACCATATATTTGCATTCCCAACACACAACATTAGACTAGTTGAGTGGTTAAATAAATTAGTCGAATAGATTGTGTAAAGTTTGAGACATTTGGTTGTATGAAGTCATAGATTGTCCATTTGGCAACATAAATGTAAAATTGAAAACATAAGATGATCTTCCAACTATATAGCCAAGAGGCAAAAATATATCGATTCAAATCTTAACCTCTTCCTACTATTTATAGTTTCTCGCCATTATGAATTCACCATATTTTTTCCACGAAATTGAAGTAAGAATGTTGTGTTTTGTCGAAATAATCAAATGCATAAACAACTACCTGTTACACTGCCGAGAGGTGGTTAGGGGGGGGTTAGACTTGGGCCTTCCTCTCGAATTGTTCTTATATGGCTACCCTCCCATAGCCTCTTCCTGGTAAGTCATATTCACCGCCTTTA